CCTCCCCCCCCCCTTCACGCGCCTGTCTTTTTATTTTATTCTCTGTTCTACAATTTTGTGACCGATGCCGAGAGCCGTGCGGCCCGCGGCAGCGGCAATAAGAGAGGCGAAGAGAGGGAGGGAGGCGAGAGAGCGAGAGAGAGAGAGGGAGAGAGAGAGAGAGAGAGAGAGAGAGAATGAGCGCCCTCCCCGAGAGACTCGGTCCAATAATGAGCCAGCCAGCAGGTGAATCCCGAGGCGACGCGCCGGAGTGGAGAAGCAGGCGCGCGCTCTTGCTACCCTCCCCCCCCCCTCTCTCTCTCTCTCTCTCGATAGAGATAGATATCTCAAAGCGCGAGTGAGGAGGCAGGCGCCCATGCTTGCCGCTCGTCTTTGGATCCTCCTTGCCCCCGACGAGGACGCCCTTTTGCACATCGCGGCGGAGCGGTTCATCTTACTTCGATCGGTCCGCGGACCACGCTCATGAAAATGTCTCGACAACGGAAATACAATTTCTCGACAATTTCTGACATAATTGCAAACTGCATTCACCGCAACACTCCGTTCATGTCAGCGGCACTGCGGCGTCCTCGCCAATATACCCTTTCGTTGCCCCCTCCTCTGATTTTACCCCTTCCCCATGACGGTCACGACCCCTCCCATACCCTCTCCGCGCTTCCTTTTACTGCAAGCGTCTGGCCATAGAAGATCGCCAAATCAGCAAGGGCCGTGAAGGGGCTGTAAATGTTGCCAGCCTCCCGCGCGCCACGCCACGCCACGCCACGCCACGCCGCTCGATAGATCGGCCGGCGCGCCGCGCCTGCACGCCGTACAGGCCCCGAGGGGCAGCGGAGCCTCGTGGAGCGCCGAGCCTTAGCGGTTTATTCCCCGTGATAAATCCTGTTTCGAACACCGCCACCACCACCGCCGCCACCACCACCACCAGCACCGACAACCACAAAAACCGCCCCCCCACCACCGTGCCGTGCAGGAGGGCCTACCTATTGCAGGGCCGCGGAAGGCGGTCGGGGAATTCCGCCGCACAGCAGTCGACGTCCACAATCAGTTATCCGGGCAGAATCCCAGGGGAATTTCTTCTGTTTCTTTCTCCGAACCACAACGGCAATATAGCCATACGCTCGAGGCAGAGCAATACACACTACAAAACGTGACAATCCACCTGCAATAAGATTGAGGTCACCCTCTCATTCTGTTAGCCACGCCATTGCTTTTTCTTTTCATATTTTTCTTCCCAGTGTGGGGGGTGTCCATGGTGTGGCGCTGGGACTGAGTGGAGATCAAACAGCAAAGCCTTGCCGCTGCTGCGAGTTCGCCTGCGGCCCACCCGGTCCGTCCGGCTAGCAGGTCCGGCCGGCGACACAAGTCTTAAACAACAACTGAACTGGACCAACAAAAGAATCCCTCGGCCCGCCCCCTTTGCACTGCTTTACTGGGGGTCCCGTTCGGCTGGCCTCCGCTCGGCTAAACCACTTCCATCGGGGCGGGCGGGCTTGGATCAGGACCAGATCCCATTGCGTCGTGTGTCGTGAGCGTGCGAGCACTACTGCGATAGTACTCATCACATGTCTAATTAATCTGGCACTTTATGAAGTCTGAAGATACTCACGGGCATAGTCTGACTGCCATGGAGGGCGGTGATGGCGCTCGCGGCTTCCTGGGGCGTCGAGAACTTGACAAAGGCACAGCCGGCTGGAAAAGAAAGAAACAGAAAGGAGAAATAAAGTAATCGATCGATAAGAAAAAAGGAAAACATGCTCTGTTTGTCAGCCGCGCGCCTGCGGGTCTCTGGGTAGGCAGCCAATATAGCACGGGCGTGCAGCGGTCTTGCCTAACCCCTCGGCCGCAGGGGCCCCAACAGCCGCCTCCCGAAAATAATCATAGCTGCTGCACTTCTTTTCTCTTCTTTTCCTCATTTCTCCCCGCGCCCTACGATTTCGCGCCTTTAAAATTAATGAGTTGTAAGTGTCAAAGGGCTAGAATCTGGGCTCCCTCCTTGCTGTAAGCCGGCGGCGGCCGCCCCCCGTCTCCACGATGGCGAAACAACGGAATGATCCTGCCGGAGCAGTTTCAGATCGAGATTCTGATAACAGCGCACTCTGCCTCAGCCGCCCCTTCCTCGACGCCTTTAACAAACGGGCCTATGGGGGGCGGCGCGGGCGGCATCGACATGGGACAGGGCGCCTCTCGGGGGCACGGTATAGGAAATGTAGTAATAGATACATTAATAAACACACCGATCTGATTAAGCTTTAGTGGCTTTTGCGACCAGCTCGGAGGTCGATGCATTTTTAAGTATCAATCACTCCCAATACGGCGGCAAAAAGAGAACAAAAAACAACAGGAGGGAAATCAACACGTATGCTGGGGGGACAAAAACGGGTTTAATGCGAGCGGTGACCGCACTGACCCACATAGTCAGCAAATGTGACATGTGAAAAAAAGCACCCCGCACCCCACAAAAAAACACAACAAACAAACCCTTACATGTTCTTTTAGCGGTGCCCTCATGCATGCTATTTTACGACCCTCATCCCTACCAGTTTGTTTGAAGGGTAAAGCAAATCGTCATCTCCTCCCTTTACGACCCTCTTCCCTCACCCCCTTCAGACTCCACCTACTGGGCCCGCACACACACACACACACACACACAGCCTAGACCGCCTGGCCAAACACTGCGGCCAGTGCGGCCTCCAACAATCCTCTGAATCTCCCCATCCTCCCCACCCA